ATTCTCAAAAGGGCAAACCAGGTTGTCCAAACACTACCTTCAGCTTTTTAAGAAATATTTTATCTCCTGAAAAGTGTCTCTCAAATATAAACTATGGGTTCCTTTCAGTTTTCTTTGATACTTGTGTGAGTTCTTTGCAGAAAACATCATTTGCCTGATTGAAGCCTTAGCCCTCTCTGGGACTATACACTCAAGCACAGCAAGTGTTCAAACTGCTCCATACAGTCAATGTCAGAAACTTATTTCTAAAAATTCCGTTTTTTTTTTTTAATCATGCAGTTTTTCCATAAGTCTCTTTGCACACAAAACACTTCCAAAAATAGAATAAGCAGTGAGTCCTGCAAATACTTATTCCCAAAAGTAGTAGCATTTTCTTTATTTGAACACCTTCCATGAATAAAGATTTGTAAGAAGGAACATGACTGTAAAGGATGGGACATGATGAAGTCCCTGAATGCCCTATATTTATATTCTTGTTATTGCTGTGATGAACAGAGTACAGTCCCAATGTGTACTTCTCTGCTTTTCAGTAACGTGGCCTTCCACACTCCTGGATACTTTGCTTTGAATGTTTTGAACCACTGTACTGTTTAGAGGTGGGGATGACTTCTTTTCATTTATGTGTTGATGCAGTTTCTTCAGGTCACGAAGTCTTCATTAGTTACTGACTTTTAGTTTTAATTTCAAACTGAAATGTATTTTATATAGTTTTCTGGTTACACTGTCTTTTTCTGTTCCTTTAGATGTGTACAAGGTGTAACAGGAGCACTCTAGAATGACAGCAAATTGTAGGAAATCTAAATAAATTTAATGTATCCATCCTCCATACAGCAGAAGTCAATGAGATTCCCACAGTGGAGCCATTCTTCACGGGATGGGGTTAGAGGGAAAGTCTTGCCTAAAGTTGTGTCTGAGCTTTGACACTCTCGCAGCACACTAAAACAGCCTCTGTAATTTGTCATACCTTCCCTTACAAGACTGCTTCAGAAAGACCTTTGACTGCTTTGTACTTCACAATGCCATTTCCCACACCCTCTCATTGCCTTACCGCAGTTCATGGCTTGTTTCCATTGCGGACCAGCAGCTGTCAGGGACAAAAGCTAAGAAGGCAGCTCATGGTTTGCGGGCTCTGGCAGATCGAAACATATATACAGCATGTGTTGATCAGCGGAGGGCAGAACTGACATCTCACACTGTGGGGTATTGCAGAATGAACAGCAGCAGCTGGTAGTTGTTAGTGGGTTGAAATCGTCTGAACCCCCCTCCCAAACCCAACAAACTTCACATAAAAGAGAATGGAAGGAGGTTTCTTAACCCGTATCATTCAGAGATTAGTTGATGAGGCACCCCACAAAATCTTACACAGGCATGATGAGGTAAGTAAGGACCTGCAGTGTGTGTGGAAGAATGAGAGATGAGGGAAAGCATCTGCTAAACTTGTTTTGTCACAGGAAAAAAAATATCATGAAACCCTACCCATAATTTTCTTGAAGAAATAGGATTAAGACAAAAAATAACTTTCATAATATTATATGAAATAACAGGAACAGTCATAACGTAAAGAAAGCATTTCTTCTTGTGTCAAAAGAAGGGAAGAGGAATTTTTGCTGGCTAGGTAGTCAGCTCCTTATCAAGAGTCTGCCTTGTTTCCTTGGACAGGGAGAAATCAGAGTTTTGCTATTCAGAACTAAGTCAGGGAGTTTTGATGGAAATACTGGAGTTCCCCTGCTTGCTGGGTTTTGTGTTTATTTTTGCATTTGCTATCTGTAAAATCACAAAGAAAGAATATAACCAGAGCCATACCCTGGGAATCGTGTTTTCCCTAAATTTAAAATGCCAAGAAAGAGAGTTGGAGATTAAGCCTTGGTTTGCAGATAACCCTTCCTTGGCACAGTTCAGGGACAGCTAATCAAGCCTGTGAGCAACATGTGGCTCCACAGAAGTCTGCACATGGCTGGAGCAGGAGTGCGCCAGGGTGGAGACACCTGGGAGAAAGTCAAGCGACAAGACCCCCAGGAACACAGCTCATACCTGCGCTGGAGTGGTGGGTGCTTACAGTCACCTCTGAAACATATGCAGCTTCTGGAAGCTCTGCCTCTCCAGCGCTCAGCAGTATATAGTGCGTGTCTTGGACACTTCAAAATAGGACAATTTGGGGGATTTAGAGCAAAGGAAAGGTGGTCATACCCTCAGCCTTGCCAGTCAATCACCAGTCAAAAGGAAGAAAGTAACTAACTTGCTAAGAGCAATCATATTCATGCCTTTTGTCATTTCTACATGTCTCAGGACCATTATTGAGCTCTTCTGACACATTTTAAATAGTCCTTTCCTACCAAAAGACGAGTCAATGGTGATCTTCAGACAGGAGCTGACGTGGAAGTCAAAAGGACCTGAATAATGACACCATTGTGGTTTTGCTGCATTTTTCTGCTTAATGTTCCCTCAAATAGGCATGGTGAGGAAGTGGGTGAAGAGGTTGTCCACATCAAGTAAGTGCTTTCTGAGCTGGCAGTCCTAGGTTTGCTTTCTAAACATAAGCTTGCCCTTCTTTGTGGCAGCACTTACAGGACAGCACTTTCCTACCATGCCTTTTTTCCTTACAAGATGAGACAGAAAACTAGGTTAAAAGTAATGGCCAGAGTTGCTCAGCTCTTGCAGTGCATCATAGCAGGAGACCAGTATGATGGAGAAAATGAGGTTTCTGGCTTGCATTGCTTTGCACTGAGGAGTGGCTTGCTGTCCTCTAATTGTGGCTACTAGTTTACTACACATTAAGGAACCTTGTTAACAGAATGTGAATGCCGCTTATTTACCTCTTACTTGTGGAAGTGTACCCTTTGTTTTTCTGTGCTTTGAGGAGGTCCTAGTTGTCATTTAAGCAGTTTTTTTACCTTTATCTTTGCTTTTTTATGGCTACATTTTTCAAAGAAGTTAGTTCCTATTTAGATGCTAAGTACATGCAAAGCCCCAGCAAATTCCAACAAAACTGGGTATTTGGAAAGAGGTTGACATCAACATCGAAGTGAAACTCAGTCTCATCTTTTGGTGCATCTAGAGAAGAACTGGCTTCTTTGAGATCTGTTATGGTGAGAGCGCTCATTATGGGGGAGCAGCAGCTGAGGTTCAAGCCTGTCTGGTTCTCCCACTGACTCACTGTGAAGTCCACAAACCCAGGTGGGAGATATTTTTTGGGGTGTTAATGATGCAGCAAGTAATACAATACTTCAATTTATAAATATACTTCAGTGTATTTCAAAATATTTCAGTTTTAAATCCTTTGAAGCAAAACAGAAAAAATATGGAAGGGGACTTTAAGGTCATCTTAAATCTTCACAAAGGGCAAAAGTGATAGAATTAATAAAAATCGTGTTGCCATTAAAAACCACCAAAACCAGCCAGCCGCTTCCCTTAATCCACTCCTTCTCACTTCCCCTTCCTCCAGGAAAGGCCATTGCACACAGCCAAAATGTGTGACTTTTATCTTCGTATGTGCCAGATGAGAAGCCAGTGGCATAATTTGAATAAGGCGTGATGGGGGTGTGGCTCAGACTAAAATATTTAATAATGATGAAGTATGAGGGGAAGCACTAGCCTGACAGTGAAAAGACTTACAGTGACAAGGAATGACTTCCATGTGTGCTGCTTTGCATTTGTAAGCCTTAGAATGGTAAAATACTTACTTGGAAGTCAGATTCTGCACTCAGAGACTTTCTTCTCACTGAGCTGAAGGATTTCTATGTGGACCAAGACACAGGGACCTCACAGGCATCCAGCAAGCCCATGTGTGTGGCTCAGTGCAGAGCCATGCAGGTATGCTAGGCTGGGCCCAGGCAGTGTAGCCATGAGTATGGGGCACTGACCCCAAACTGATACCCCGTGTCCCTGGTTGTTAGTGTACACTGTTGGTATAGAGCTTCTGGATCCAAATGGTTTACTGGTTTACTGTGCTACCAGTTTAGGTATCTCTGCATCAACGTGGGCATAATTTCATTCTGTCACTCTCCCAACTGGATGCTTTTTTTTGTAATTCAAGCCCATGGAAGGGAAGCGAAGCATCACCTGACAGTTTTAAAAGGATTTGTGGCAAATGTTGTGTTTAATGGACAGAACTGCTGTTCCTATCCATAGTTCTGAGAATTTTGGATGCTTCTTGAGTCCTGATAAACCCCTGGCATGAGGCCCAAAGCATCCTGCTCGGTCACAGACCAGAGGGCTGGTGCTCTTCCAGCTGCATCGGGAAGCGGTCACGGGGTGAGGCGGCTGTGTCAGGTCGGGAGACTGACACCGGTGACAGGCAGGACTCGAGCACTTCGGCCTCCCAGGCACCGCTGGGGACCGGCTGCTAAGCAGGGGCTCGGCCACCACGAGCGGCTGCTCGCCTGCTCCCACAGCACGCAGCGCAGTGCTGCTGGCGGCACTCGGGGGCAGATAAATGCAGTACTGCATAACACACATTTATTCCCACATGAATATCCACAGATTGTCACTGCAGCAATGGAAGATGTGGATTTTTTCCTGTAAGTTATTTTAACGCAAACTTCCATTTAGCCGCCTGTTAGACAAATGATTTTTTTTTTTTTTCCGTCACAGTCAGTACCTGGTTGCTTTCTACGGCTTCAACACTAACGCTGCTCGTGAAGAGGCCCCGCGGAGAGCCGGGAAACCGCGAGGAGGGCCAGCACTGCCGTACCGCCCGCCCGCCCGTACGTACCGCCCGCCGCCGCCCCTCTCCTCACGGGAGCGCGGGCCGCGGCTGTTGGGCGGGCAGGTCGCCCTTAAGGCTGCCGGCCGCTCCTCAAGACTGCCTTCGCCCTCCGCGGAGCCTGTCCGCCGCCTCGCCATCGCCGTACGTTCCGCCCGAGCGGCCGAAGACAGAAAGCCGTGCCAAACCCCGGCGCCTGCCGCCCCGCAGCCGCCCCGGCCGGCCAGGGCCTCACGCCTCCTTAAGAGGCGGCGGTCAGCTGACGGCTGGCGCCTCCCCCGCCGCGCGGGTGAAAAGTGCCGTATGCCCGCAATGGGGAACGGGACCCTGCCCCAGCCGAGAGGCATGGCCGAGCCAGCGGGACACCGGGCGACCGTAAGCGCCGTGCCTCCTTCTTACGCGCTCATCAGCGGCTCCTCCGGCGGGCGGGAGGCGAGGCGAGGCCTGACAGGGCGGGGGGGTGCGCGGCTGCTGCGCCCGGCCCCGCGGGCGGGCGGGCAGGCAGG